AAAAAAAATCTTTGGTCTATTTCTCCTTACACCCTCAGTTGCTGATGTGTGACTTTTGCAAAAGTAGGATACCATTTTAGACTTATATAATGCTTAAACATAATGCTTATATATTTAAACATTATTATTATTATTATTATTATTAATTATAAATAATGCTCAAAAGTAGGACTGCCTTTGATAAACGTGGGCAAATCTCACCTTGACGCCTCCCAATATTTTATTTTTTTTATCTTATTTTTGGATGAATGGTGGCCTTCTAAATTTAGGATGCATTCTAAAATTTAGGATGCATTCTAAAACCAGCAGCTAAGAGAGGCAGACTAGAAAGCGAAGGAGTCCAGGGTCCTTTTTCCTTGATGAAACTGGACGTTGACCACAGGGTGTCTGCCGTTGAACAAAATGGGGAAAAAAGAAGAACAGACAGGCAAGAAGTGGAAAATAAAATGACGCAAGACAAAGAAACAGGGAGTGAAGCAGCAAAATCCTTGCCACAATGGGATGATGGGGCTCTGTGACCAGATTTTAGTTTTCTGCCAGGATGCATTCTTCATTTGCTTGAGGTAGAATAACCAACTCCTAGGCTTCCCAATGAAAGGAATTTAGAGGGGTATGTATGTGTGTATTCATGCAACATAGACTTTTAGTTGAGATTGTATTTTTTTTTTCCCCATGATAAGGAATGTGCCTCTGGGCAATATAATTGTATTTGTATAACAGAAGTGCTTGAACCAAAAGATCAAATTGTGATGTATATTTCATGTTAACTAGCAGCTGTGTGCAAAGACTCTTCGTCTGTGAAGCTGGACTCTAGAACAAGGGCATGGTGACCAGATGTCCTCCTTTCCAGGACATGTCCTACATTTTAAACTATATTTTTATTAATTTTATATATATACATTATATACATTTCTTAATCTTGAGTACATACTCAATCTATTCAAAATATTACCAATATACACAAAAAAAACTTCCATAGTTCTTCCAAAGTAAGCATGCTACTTATTCATTTAAAACAAATCTCAAATTACACTTTTCATTATTTAAACCTATTTGTATTAATATCTATATCCATCTTATTTTCATTTTAATGCATTCTATTTCTTTATATATTTCTTTCTATTATTATCTTTCCATACCTCTTATTTCCATATTTCTTTTATATATTTCTCTATTGGAGCCCACTCCACCTCTAGTTCCCCAGAATCTTTATTACTTAAAATTCTAGTCAAACGGACATGTCCTACATTTCAACCTTCTGTCGAGGGGGAATTTCAACGTGTCCTCCATTTTGAGCAAGACTAGGAAGCATAAGTTTACCTTTATATTAATGGTTTTAGCTTTTATTTTCTAATGTCCTATGCTTTTCTTGAATGCCCTACATTTTACGGTGCCTTGCCCTCCTTTGCGATTATGACATCTGGTCACTCTGAACAAGGGGTGAGGAAAATCTCTTTGTGAATACTGAGATGGGGCTCTTTTAAAACACAGTTCCCTTTCACTCCAGCACTTATTTTTCTCTTCCTTTCTCATTTCCCATTTTGTATCTTTGCCTATTAGATTACTAATTATCTTTTAGTATCTCTGCATCAAGATGAGGCAGCATAGTGTAGTGGTTTGAGTGTTGGACTAGAAACCAGGGTTCAAATCCTTGCTCAGTTATGGAAACTCACTGAGTTGACCTTGGGCAAGTCACACCCTCTCAGCTTTAAAGGAAGGCAATGGCAAGAAAACCCTGTGAAAAAAACATAACTTGACATTGACTTGAAGGCACATAAAATCTGTACAGACATATTTTAAGTGTTATTTAAAAGTTCATCATCAACAACAACAAAAACAGCAAGAAAAAGTAGAAGGTTAAATCTGGCTATTCTGAGACAGGGAGAAAGGATGGTGGAAATTATTGTGAGATGGAAGGGAAGCTAGCAATGTTCCAGCATAGTGATGGAAAATCCACAGTATGTAATTGTTTCAACGTCATTATGCTCCCCTTCCTTCCTTCTGTACAGTAAGCTATGGCAGAGAAATGTGCCATTTTAAAAACCTGTAATGATATATGTTATAAATGTGAGCATAAATCCATTTGCTACTTCCAACTGGAGTAGATCCATTGAACCAGTGGGACTGATCTAAGTGTTGACCTAACCATTCAGCAGCTTTTTTATTTGTCTTAATAATAATAATAATAATAATAATAA